GAAGGACCCCCAGCCTGGCTTGAGAGGATGGGGCAGGGGAGATTCCGCAGGCAAAAGTAGGCATCCCAGTGCCACGCCCACCCATTCGAAGGAGCCTGTCTGATCAGCCAGGAACTCATTTGCCGTGTGCCAAACCTCTCTGGATCCCTGGGTCTTCTGCTGCCAAGTGGGGTCTGCAATGCCAGCTCTCTCCCAGGATCATCAGGAAGAAAACAATCCCGGAACGATAAGCTTAGGACACAGACCATACATCAGCGAGCGTGGCCATGAGGCCTGTGTTCAAACACTGCCCCTGCCCCAATCCCTAACTGAACCACCCAGGACAATGTTCTCATCTGAACAGCGGGGCCGATAAAAGCATCTTTCCCAGGGTGGTGGCACAGCAGAAATGTGAGAACATCAGTAAGTGCTGTGCACCAGGCCTGCTGTGGAATACCAGAGCCACCTTGTGTTAAGCACTTTCTAGAAGCCAAACAGGTTTCAAGCATTCGCTCATTAAACCCTTACATCAAGCCCAGGCGTTGGGTGCTATTACGATCCCCATTTTCCAGAGGAGGCAACTGAGGTTGGGTGAGTCCTTTGCCCAAGGTCACACAACTAGGAAATGGTGAGCGGGAGTGTGAGCCCGGGGCTGCTTGATTCTGAAGCCCTGAATCCCAACGGTGACTATAACACGTGCTCATCTAAGATCTGAAAGGTACCCTCAAAATCAACTGGTCCACCCATTTTACAGCTGAGGAAACTGAGGCCCAGAGAAGGGAAGAGATTAGCCTAGTCACAGAGCAGCTGCTGCTGGAACCAGACCTACGACACCCACAGTTACCGCTCACATTTATTGAGCACATACTATGTGCCATCTTTGAAGTGCTGCACGTCCATCATTGCATGTAAATCTTATAATAACCCTAGGAAGAGAGAGACTTTTATTATTTCCATTTTTCATTCAGGTAAACTGAGGCAGAGAGGGGCAGTAGCTTACTCAAGGTCACGCAGCTAATTGACAGGAGCGGTAGGACCCACACCCAAAGAGTCAAGCTCTAGAGCCATTGTCCAGTGCCACGTGTGGCACCAGCTCCCCGCAGAGCCCGAGCTGGCCTTGCCTCGCAGCTGGATCCTAGGCAGACTTACCCGCCAAGGGAGTGGGGTCTGCAGGGTTCCTAGGGCATGGCCACCATGAGGCAAGGCAGGACGAAGCAGGAGTCCCCAGCTGGGTAGGCACTGCCTGAGCTGGGAGATGGGCACGGAGCTGGGGCTGGCGAGCCCAGTCTGCCCCAAAACCCTTACCTCCTGCCTCTGCAAAGACAAGTTTATCCAAAAAAATGCAGGCGAGCTAAGAACACGTTTTGCTTTATGAGTCTCTTGTTGTAGGCAGTGCACATCTTGGGAGATGTGTGGATGAAAGGCACCATATAAAATGCAATCAATTATGAATCACCATTACTGAATTAATCACATGTATGATTAATACAGTAATAATAATTAATGCGAGTATGGTCTAGAGATTAGAGCAGAGAACTGGCAGGGAGGAGTCGGGGTGCTTCTGGCAGCCTCTGCCACTACCTGGAGGTGTCACCTTGGGGGAATGCCCTGGGCTTGGATCGTGGTCTCTCTCCTACTGGCCCTGCCTTGGCCGTAGAAGTCAGGGGCCCAGGGTTGCCCCCAAACCCCTAGATGGTCCTGGGGTCGTTCCCAGGGTCTCACCTCCTACTTCCAGCGCATCTCCACTGCTCAAGGTCAAGGGGACAAATCAAAACCTTGGTCTGGCATAACTGAGAATGGAGTGAATCAAGTGAACGGTGAGAACATGGTGCTTGTGCCTTTTGAGCCTACACTTGACCCTTTGGTCAGCGGTGTGAGCTCATTTTATCTGTCTGTCTTTTAGTCCGTCTGCATCAGGATTTGCCTTCTCTCAGAAATCCCCGAAGGGGCTGGACCTCATCTGTAACCTCTCATTGCAAAGCTAGTAGATCGCTTTTGAGCGTGACTTTATAATTTCCTGTTATTTTTCTATCCCATCCATGCCTATTCCCTCACTGTAAAGGAGGCAAGTAACACAGAAAGAATATATATGTAATAAGCCATGTCATCCCCCATCTCCCCTGCTCATACTGTGGTAGCTTTAGTTTACATATGTGTATATATATGTACAGGTACATATGTATCTTTATATGCATACAGCCCCTTTGTTTAAAAAACATAGATGGAACAAAATTACATGCATTATTCTGCAGTTGCTTTTTTGATAATAGATTCCACATACACAGCTGGAATTAAAACTGTGCAGTGGAGCCAATATCCCATCAGTGAAGAGGACCATTCGGCTCTGCTGTGAGAGGGGAGCCAGCAATTATTTGCGAGGGAGACTCATTCACACTTTCCTGCCCCTGGTGCTCAGCTTCTCGTCATTGCTGGGGAAAGGTCATTTGTCGTAAGATACCTTAATGAAATTTAAAAACGAACATCCCTTGACCACCTGGTCCCTACATGGCTGGAATCCTATTTGTTTCCCATCTTGGAAAAGAAGCACTTTATTAGTCACTTGAAAGAGATGCTGTCTCCCAGAGGTTGCTATGGCCTGCTGTCAACTCGGGATCACCGCGCAGGGACTACCTTCTGGGGTAACTGCCCTCATTACGCAGATGGAGAAACTGAGGCTAAGAGCGGGGAAGTAATGGCCCCAGGCCACATAGCTAGTAGGGGCTATTATTCTGACTCTCGGGTCAGTGCTCTTTCCACGATTCCATAATTTCCGGGATCTGGAAATGGGGAGACCAGAAGACAGGTTGGGGAATGGGTCTCTGAAAATGCCGGTCGGCGTCAGCTCGCCGGCGAGGCGGGAAGTGCTGGGGAGAGGAGGGCTGCAGAGGCAATTTAAACATTGTTTCCGCGGCATGTAGCTTTGCACATGGGTCACTTAAACCATCTGGGAAATAACAGGAATACGCCCTGGGTCCCTCCACTGTGTTTAGGTGAACCACAAATCAGAAGCCCCCTCCGCCATGTCCTGTTGGCTGTCCTGACAGCATCCAGTCTCGGTGATGATGGAGGAGCAAGGCGTTTCCCAGGAATTGACGGCCCTGCCTGGGGGCGACAGCAGGCTGAGGGCCTACCCAGGTCATCACTCACCCTGCCTGTGTGGGAGCCCCCCACTGTGCCCTTCACTACTGCCTGCAGGCCAAATGCTTGAAAGTCAAATTGCTGAGATGTGTTCTTCTCCTCCAAGGAGCTTTCTCCTACTGGATGCTTTGAGGCCTCGGGACCAGGTAAGCAGGGGCTGGCTTGCATCTGCTCTCCTGGACAGCTTTGCATGTGTTGGAGGAGAGGGGATCTCTAGTGGGAGGGATCTGAGAGCACTGCAGGAGGAGGCACTCGATGGCCTTTTTGTGACCGCTCTTTGGAGAAGGAAAGACTCACCATTCACATCTCACAGGTGGGGAAACTGAGGCCCAGAAACACTCTGTGCCGTGCCCCAAGTTACCCAGCAAGTCAGGAGGGGCACCACCGGGAAGCTCAAAAGCCCTGCATCCCAGGCCAGAGTCTTCCTCAGCTGTGTGACCTTGGGCAAGTTACTTAACATCTCTAAGCTTCATCTATAACTTGGGACTTTACTGACAGGAGTTAAGTCACAGGTCTGCTGGGAAGAATCAGTGGATAATACACATAAGGTGGTTTGCATGGATCCTGGCATAAAGCAGGTATTCAATAAAAGTTAAATTATTATTATTATTAAAGCAGATGACAGTCTTTAATTCCATGTCCTCTGCCTGCTCTGTGACAACAGTCTAAACGTTATTCAGCAATACAGCCCCCTCTGCAAGCTTAGGGGGGGCCAAAAGCAGGGGAGGGTTAAGGTGGAGGTAAGAGGTGGCAGAGGGTGTGGCACTCAGGGCCACATCCTTTGCTCTTCTTCCTGACACCCTCTGTGACCTTGGACCTTGGACCAGTCTCTCTCTCTCTCTCTCTCTCTCTCTCTCTCTCTCTCTCCCGCCCTGTCCTCAGGCTCTTTGTTCTTGATGCGCCAAATGACCGTGCTGGCTGCCTGAGCGCTGCAGTGAGAACCCACCCCCAGGAAGCCAGGAGCACCTGAAAACCACAGGTCTCCCCTGGAAGATGGAGGAAGCTCTCCTCACAGGCCTGGGAGGCAGCCTGGAAGGAAACCTCCAGGGGGTTGAAGAGCCCAGGGCTGCCCAGTGTGCCCAGCTCCCTGGCCTCTGCCCTGGGCTCTGCAGGAGTCCTCGCACGGGCTCCTCCCAGGCTTACCAGGGAGTGAGGCCTCTCCTGCCCCCCTACTCCGCACTCCCTCCGGAGCTGGCTTGGCTTCGTCAAAAGCAGGGCCCATCAGGGTGGAGGCGGCGATGTGTCAGCTGGTATTCAGGCTCTGGTTGTGCGCTCAGATCGCTCCCTCCCCATCTCCCCCAATCCACCCACCCACCCTTTTACCCACTGCTTGGGGCCTTCTGGGTGGCAGCACTTCCCAGAGGGAGACCGAGCTGCAGCCTTGAGCCCTTGGCTGTTGGGGGGTGGGCGGACTGACTCACTTGGCCCCCTCCCCGGGGCCGATGGGGCAGCTCCCACACCCATGGGCGCTGGCAGCCTGTCAGGCCCCTGGGTTTCGGAAAAGGAAGCCGCAGCCCCGCGGCGCCTGACCCGAGCTGGCTGAGAATGCGCTCTGCGCGCCGGGACCCGCTGGCCCCCGGGCCGCGAGGAGATGTTTAGGCTGCGACCCCCCAGAGCAGGCTCGCTCCCGCGGCCGCCCGCTGGGGCCACCCTGGCCGCGGGCCCGCCGGGACGCCCCTGCTCGCAGAGCCCCTCCCCGGGCCGTGGCGCGTCCCCCGAGTCTCGCAGTATTTCCTTCCTGCACCTTTAAGAAGACCGTTGCTCCGTGGTGGGATGGTGTGTTAAAGCCACACAGAGGAAGTTACGCAGCCCGGATCAGACCGAGAGATAAAAGCCCCGATGGTGATCGTGAGTGATGGCAAGAGGATTTAGCCTCGGCATTAACTTGGAGCGGAGTGCAGGGGGGCAGTGAAACGCCCCGCCATCTGGCCCGCGCCGCGCCGGGGGGATGCCCCGGCGCCCCGACGAGCAGCCGCGAAGCCCACCCGGGCCGGGGGCTGCCCGGTGCCCGAGCGCGGGTCCCCTCCGAGCCGCCCAGGGGGCCCCAAAAGTTTGCACTTGTTAGCGGCGACCTCCCGCTCGGCCGGGGCGGGCGATGCGGGCGGCTGGGGCGGGCCCCTCCCCCGGCCCGCGTCTCCGGGACGGCTGCGGGCGGCCCCCCCGGCGGCCGGAGGGCTCCCCAGCCCCGATCTGACGGCCGCGGCGGCGGCGGCCACAGCGGCAGCGGGAGCAGCGCGGGGAAGCAGAACCGGCTCGCAGCCCTCGGCCCTCGCCCCACCCAGCGCCAGCCAGACGGGGGAGGCGGAGCGCCGAGGGTGGCGGTCCTCGGCCTCCCGGGTCTCCGCTCCGGGAAGCCGCTCCGAGCCGGGGTAAGGCTGGAGGGGAGAGCCCGGGAGGCGAGCGGGGGGGCGGGCGGGGGGGAGAGATGCTGCAGCTTTGCCAGGCTGGTTTCATTTTTAAAGGGCTTCGGTGACCATGCAGGCTTTCCCGCGGCCCAGGAGCCACTTAAAGCGGCCCAGCAAAGGCTCGGATGCAAAAGTTATTTGGTGGCGGCCGTTACTAGCGCAGGACTGGAGTCGCTTGGAGAGGGGTGTGTGAGTGTGCATTTGTAGCAGTATCTTAAAGGAGTAGCTTGTCTTCCTGGCTGGCTTTTTCCCACCAGGGTCTTTTTCCATCGTTTGTGAGAGTGAGTGGTGGGGATGGGTGTTACCAGAATGCCTGGATGTGTTTGTGAAAAGGAAATTAACCCTTCTCGCGCGCCATTCCCCTACCCCAATTTAATCGCCACCCCAATTCCTCCCATCCCCTTCTCCTCTCTGAAAACTGGGTATGTGTGAGTTGCACAGAGAAACTCTGTCTTCCAGCGGCGGCTAGAAACTTCTTTCCGTGCCCTGGAGGGGTGGGCTAATGGGGAGGGTTATGTGCCTGGACCGGCTTGGGGACAGCGTGGAGTCGAACCTCCAGCTGGGTGGCACGCAGATGGTGGGAGCAGAGGCCGCGGGAAGGCGGGAAGAGGACCGTGGACTCGCGGCGTCCGCGGGCTCCGGAGTAAGTTGTCCGCCTGGGCTGGGGGCGGCAGCGCTGGGGAAAAGGAGGCAACGAATTCCCCGGTGCTTTGCTGGGCGTCTTCTAAGTAAGGGAAGCGGTGCCAGGTGTGGGTGCACCCTCGGTGCCCGCCGGGCCTTTTTGAAAGGCGTGATTATTAATTGCTCCCGTGGCTTGCACTCAACTTCGGGAAGACAAAAAGCAACTGCGGGATTGCCAGGCACGTCCCCGTGCGATGTCCGCCGTTTGCAGCCCACCCGAAGCACGGACTCCGAACCCTTGGCGTCCAAGGCTGGGAGCTGACCCCCATCTCCACACACCCCCTCCCCCCGGCCCCAGCCGAGGCCTCCTCCTCGCGCCCCACCCCCCGCGCTCAACTCTTCGGGGCTGTCTGGGCGCTGAGAGGGCGTGGGGGGCGCCCGGGAGCCCAAGAAGGCTCCCATTCCGGGGCTGGGGGCACTGGGGCCGCCGGAAATGGGATGCTCACTCGTGCGGCCGCGTTGAGCGGGGCACCTACTGGACCGGCGCGGGCTGAGGGAGGTTTAGGGTTGGGAGGATGGGGTGGGACTGGAAGGTGATCGCGACCGGGAGCGGGCTCCCCTTTCCTTCCTGGCTCCCAGCACCCTCCCCTGAAGGCAGATATCACCCCCCTCGACTGTCCCCGCTGGGAAAGGAGAAGAAACTTGGGGGTGGGCTGGGTCCTGGGAGAAGTCCCCAGCGCCCCCTCTCCAGGGACCACCCCCCCAGGGGCTCCGCGTCCACCAAGGCAAGTTTCCCACGAGGCGAGGGCGCAGCCGGCAACTCCGGGAGGAGCCTGCTTCCAGCCCAGCCAGCTCGAGAGGCGCTAATTCAATAAGACAGAAAAATCTGAGTTCAGAAATCCTGGTAAAATCTAATTTTCGGGTTTTAATAACCTGGCTTTCAGCCCCCTCGGCTCCTGAGGACTCTTAAAAGAAAAGAAAGCGCATTGATTCGATTTGTTTCTGGGAGCTGCAGTTTCTTAATAATATCAGGTGAAGATTTATTTTCCAAGGAGTAAACTATCCGCCGGGATACAACCTCTTACTCTGAAATTTCCCACACTGGCTTCTCACTCCGTGCTTTCCTCCTCGCTGTTCCGGAGACGCTTGCATCTCTCCCCCTCCCTTTTTTTCTGTTTGGCAAAAACTGACTGTAACATTCTCATGCTGAGCTCGCAATTCCCTTACGATGCCAGCAACGCCCAACTGATTGACTAGTTGTAAACATATTTATTACCCACCCCCCCCTCCCCGCAGATTTTGATGTTGTTGGCTCCCCCACCCCATCTTCCAGGGAATGCATGGCATTTAAGCCTGCGGAACTGCAAAGCAATGAATAGGCTTGCGAGGCGCGCTGCCCCTTCGATCTCGCGGGCCTCCTGGCCTCCGGGCCTCACTGCCTCCCCACGCCCGCCTGCGTCCAGTGCGATCCAGGCCGGAGGCAGCACTCTGGTCCTGCAGACGAAGGAAGCCCGCGTCCGGGCGCACCCTGCGAGCCGCAGTCGGGCGCCCTACCTGGGAGCGAACAGTCAGGAGCCCGCGGCTGGAAGAATGAGTGAGGAATGTGCTGTTTTCTGGGCAGCGCGAAGCTCAGACAGAGGCATCCAAAACCTTTGCCGGCCGCGCTATCTTATTTTTACTACATTTTCTCAGGTTGTAAAAATAGTCTCCAGGCGGGTTCTTTCTGAGAGTTTTCTAGCAAGAAGCACATTCAAGGCCGGACAGGCTCTGTAACACTGTTTCTCTTTAAACAGCCAGAGGTAAGATGTGAAAATGTGTCCCCCTCGGCTCATTCATCTGCATCAAGAGCCCTTCAGCCAGAGAGAGGGGCAGGGGCTGCCTTAATGCAGATTTATGATGCCCCCAGCCTGGAGCTTTGGGGCAGAGGCTGGGGGCTTCTCCTGGGGAGGTGCGGAGCGGCCAGCCCCCATTTGGACAATGTCCCCCCCACTCCGGTTTGTCATTTTTGGCAGGAGTGCGTTTGTGTCTGGGTGGAGAATGGAGGTTCATGGAAACGTCGTGGACCTTCTAGGTACAATGGCTGAAGAGTCAGCGGTTTGGGAATTTAGATGCAATAATCGTAGACATAATAACCAGAATGAATAACACATGCGCTTCTGCTGCGACTCATTGCAGTAACCTTTGCCCTATTGGCTAGTATTTTTGGCCAGATCCCACACTGGGGACCAAATTCTCCTGGTGATATATCAAGTGTCCTGGAACACCCCGCACTATTGGAGTCGTGCTTTTCGCAATGTAACATTCATCTTAGTTATGTCTATTTAGGGCTTTTAAATAATTACCGGTAGCTTAAAATAGTAAAGCAATAATCATAATGGTGACCTGTTTATAAACATACCCTCTAAGGGATGATTGCAAAATTTTGGCCTTGATCGGAAAAAGCGAATATGACAAATCATTGTCACTTCCGTCCAAGTCTTCAACATCCCTAGTTTCTTACAGTTAAAAATTAAATTCACCATTTCAGAATTTTGGAGATGTATTTACTGGCACCCAGTTCGTAATTGTCGGCCCGCGCGTGGACCGTTCTTAACCTGAACCTGTCCTCACAGCCTCGTCGGCACCTGTAATTAATTACAGCCTCATCTACGGTTTTGACATTTTGACTTGTCAGGCATGATAAAGCCACCATTCATCTCGGCTCCTGGGGCTGCTTTAGAAAGTCACTGACCCCAAACAGGGGCGCTTCTGCTGACCCCAACACCCCCATAAATATGGAGAAAGCGCATCACCTTTTTAGTAACGTGCCCCATCTTCAAATGTGCATCTCCTATATTAATAAAAATAACCCAGTTTCCTCGGGACACCTTGCTAATAATGCAGCCTCATCTTTTGCACATTTTGCCAGAGAGCTTTTGTTCTTATACATCTTTACTCTCCCCCCCCTTTCTCTATTTAACTTGTTGCAGGTGTTGTTGCTAACGAGCTCTCTCTCCTCCGTTCTTACAATGAAAGACAAGCCAGACCCCGGGTACCTGGATGGATTGGGAGCTGAAGTCTCAGAAACTTCCTAATAAGTTGCCCATGGCTACCAGCCAAGGTCAGCTGGTTCCCATTAGCGCCTGTCCCCACCAAAGACGAGCCAAATAAGTTGCTCCCCAGTTAACACCTCAGTCGCTTTTTTTATGCTCCAGTCCAGCTGCACAATTGTTGTCACTTTAAGCCCATATGAAAAGAAATCTCTTTTATGGGTCCAAAATGCCAAGTCCAATCCCATAGAGGGAACGTGTTTGCAGCAAACAGGTACACCTCCTGATTTTACTTTATCTTTACAACGCAGGCCGGAGGGTTGTTTTGCAGTTGTGTTGAGCGCACATCACACACTCAGGGCCCTTTAAAGACCCGGGTTGATTGGAAGGACCAAAATTAAAAGCAATCTGATCCGGCCTCACGCCAGATCCCTGCGGATTTTCTCCCTATCCCATTTCCATCCACCGTCACAATTTGAGAGTCTGCCTGATCTGATCAGATTCCCCTCTGGGGGAGGTGTGATGCCAAGGTTAGGAGGACGCCAAGTTGTGGGCAACTTCTCGATCTGCCCATCAGCAGTCTGAGAAACGCTGGCTCTGAGTTTTCCACATCGGCCTCTTGGAAAAAACAAGTTCCTCGCTGTTTGCAACCTGGCAGAGTCCCTGGGACATCCGGCCTCCGTCGCCTGGTAGATGTGGCTTTTCCATGCTGGGGCGGCGAGGCCCTCCTGACCCAGTCGCCACCTCTCCGGTCCCTCTCTGGGCCTCGCCCCTGGGGACTGCGCCGCCATGCTGCACCTGCTGGCTCTTTTCCTGCACTGCCTCCCGCTGGCCTCTGGGGACTACGACATCTGCAAATCCTGGGTGACCACGGATGAAGGCCCCACCTGGGAGTTCTATGCCTGCCAGCCCAAGGTGATGCGCCTGAAGGACTATGTCAAGGTGAAGGTGGAGCCCTCCGGCATAACGTGTGGAGACCCCCCTGAGAGATTCTGCTCCCACGTAAGTCAGCCCCACCCTGCCGTTCTGTTCGCTCAGGCCAAGTGGGTGGGGGTCTGGGCCGGACCCTGGGGGTGGGTGAGCAGAGTGGGAGGACCAAGATGCAAGGTTGGCTCTCCTGCATGTAGGTTTGGGATCAGGTCTCTGTCCCACCTTGGAAACGTGCCACAGCAAAGGCGGCCCTGAGGATGCTGGGGTCACGTGACATGGTTCTTCGGGGTGGGGAGATTCTTGGCCAGGTGATCGCTAGATCCTCTCCTCTTGGGAAAACCACAGTACTAGTCAGTTCCCCAGCCTTGCAGATAAGCCCCGCCTCTCTCGTAGGAAGTCAGCATCTGGGCGAGCGAGCAGAGTACTATTTGCAGCGTTGCACTCTGACCTCCCTCGGTTCGTCCCTCTGTGGTACCACCTCCTCTTCCACCCAATCCAATCCAGCAAACAGGTTTGCCGAGCGAGGGAATGCCAAGCACCGGGCCGGCGCTTCGCAGGGGGGGGTTTGATGGCAGTGCAGAGGGGATTCGTAAGGGAGGACGGAGGGGTCAGAGCAGGGTGGGCGGTGTGGCTGGTACCATTTCTGATTCCACCCCTATGTGCAGTGACCACAGTCGCTGGTTAAGTCAGGGGGGAGGCAGGCTTTCAGGCGTTGTCACCTGAGTCCCTAGTTAGAGAAAGTTGGAGTCTTAGAGCCACGGAGTACATCAGTACTCAAGTAACATTAACAACAACAACAACAACAATAATAATAGCGGGGACCATTTGTGCAAGCCCCTGAGTGTGGAGGCTAAGAGCTCAATACGAGTCATTCCATGGAGTCCTCCACTCGGCTGAGCTGGGTTGATCCTGTGTTGTACAAAGTAGGAGTTTCAGGGGGTGAGCTCTGGACCAGTGGCATCTCTGGGCCACCACTCCATCACCTGTGAAGTGTGTACACTAACAGCACACACTCAAGTCGCTGTAAGGAGTAAGTGAGCTAATGCACCCTAAAATGCGAAGACTAGGGTCTGGCCCAGAGCAAGTGCCCCTAGGTGTTAGCTATTGTCATTCCCATTGTACAGATGGAGAAACTGAGGTCCAAAGTCACAGCCCAGGAAGTGATGAAACTATGATTTGAGTGTCTGGCTCCAGAGTCACTGAGCTAATCTGCCTCCCGAGAGACACCTTCCCACTGGGCAGGGCCCCGGGTCGGGCGGGAGGCTGGACAGGGCAGCCAGGCTGCAGGAGCCACAGGAAGGGCTCAGTGTCACCCTCGGGTGGCTGCTGCCTTCACGTGTCCTGCGGGGAGCCACCAGGTCTCTGGGTTTATGGCTGGACTGAGCCGGTGTCCCCACTCGGCTCCTGAGGAGGCCTCAGTCCCGTGGGGCGCTTGGGTCCTATCCTAGAGCAGTCAGCCTGGGAAGGTAGGTTCCCACTTGGATGGTCAGCAGTCAGGAGGCTGTCACTGTGGGTGGTGGCTGGGCTGGGGGGAGCTAGCTGGGGAGAGAGAGAGGCAGGGAGGAGAAAGCAGCAAAGGGCCAGGAGCCAGGGACTGGAGAGTCCCACTGCACTGAGGACCCCAGGGCTTGCTGGCTCAGGGACAGTCAAGGGGGCTGGCCCCTGAAGGTCAGGGCCAAGGCCAGCACCGGGGGAGCCCAGCTCTGAGTCCACATCTGAAGCTGGCTGCCCACCCCAGCTCATGTAAGGACTTCTCCACACACTCCCTGAGCAGAGTCAACCGCTGCCTCTTGTATTCAGAGTCTTGACTGTATTTCTTCTTTTGAATATTAATCGTCTTAATGTGCGGAGGGCGGGGCCGTGGGGCGGGGTGCCTAAATCATAAATCACTGGACCAGCTTCTGGTCAAGGCTTGAGGGGTGGAGATGACCGTCAAATGCAAGTCTGAGGCCCTCTCCTGGCCAAAGCTGGCTCAGGATGCCCTTGGCCCCGGGCCTCCGCCCTGCCCCCACTCTCACACACAGAGAACCCAGCGCAGCTGCCGGGGTGGAGTGGTCACCCCGCCACAGTCCTGATGCCACCCAGCATAGGTCCTTGGGCTGTGCAAGGAGCATTCATGCCCCTCCTGTCCTCCCCTGGGAAGACCGGTGAGGAGGGGGCAGGGGAGGAACAGCATCTCCCTCGGTGTCCTGACACCTGTCTGATGGACTTAAATATTTCATGATGGGCTGCCATCCGGCTCTGCCCTTGATTACAAACGTGCAACCAATGAGGATGGGGAGGCTGCCTAGGCTGGCTTCTGCAGGGAGGAGGGGGTCACGTCCAGATGGATTCAAACCCCCACCCCACCCCACTGTTTACTGCAGCTTCCCTAAGCAGGTTCTGTGCATGTCTCATTAAATCACCTCTAGGGTGCTCTGAGGTGGGGACTCTTCTAATCCCATTGTAGGGATTAGAAAGCGTTGGCTAAATCCCGCCAAGGTCACTCGGTCTGGAGGGCGGGCTGGGACCTTGTACGTGGCCAGGACCCATGCTTATGCACCCGACGGCCCAGCCTTCCCTCTCTGAGCTTTGGTGAAGCAGAGATGATGGTGTAGGCAAGTCACAGTGCCAGTGGAAAGATGCAGCCTGGCCATGGGTGTCCTGGCACGTAGTAGGTACTCAATGTGTGGTAGCTGTTATTTGCTTACCATTGTGGCTATTATGTCCTTGGTTGTGTCCGAGCCTTTGTCTCTTTCCCTCTCTCCAGCCTTGGGGACACCACGCCCTGTATTCCTGGTCTCAGGGCAGCAGGTGGTGGATGTGTGCTCAGGAAGCGTTCGCTCCTCTAGCCATGGCCGGTGGCGCCACCAGGGGGCGCCCTAGTGGTACCCAGGTGGCCCTCTGCCCCCTTAGCCTTACAGTAGCCCAGTGGGTCCCTGTTTCCTGGCACCCCTCCTGCGGCGAGTGCTGGGCCTGTCCTAACATCCACCCAAACGGAGCATGAGCCCTGGGGCACCCTGAGGTTGCAAGAGGGGCCACGGAACGACTGCCCCTTTCAGACTGCAGTGTGCAGACCCTCTCTCCCCCCCGGACTTGTGTACTTCCGCAAGGCCACCTGAGAACTGAATTGTAAATTCCAGCCTGGGGAGGAAGGCGAGCGGGGAGGAAGACCAAGATAAATGAACAAAAAACCTATTGGCTCCAAATGCACAATGAGAATTAATAGGGCTGAGCTCTCAACCAGGGATTCTTGGGCAAGGGCGAAATTTCAATGAGGGCTGCGGGAGAAGGCGGGCGGCCTCCCACCCCTGACTCCCAGGGCCTGGTTGGAGAGGGCCAAGCCTTCTGAGGCTGCAGGACCAGGGAGAAGGAGGGAAAGGCAGCGCCCGCAAGGGCTTCTCAGCCCCTAGCAGGACCCCTTTGGGATGGAGAGGGCACTGTTGGGTTAGGGGAGCAGCCCTGCAGAGCTTCGAAAGAGCGGTCGCCGGCCAGCTGCCTGCGCTGCCGTGAAAGGAAGGGGGAAACCCTGTCCTCACGCCTTGAGGCTCAGCAGAGAGATGGTGAGAAAAGAGGGTGGGGGGCATAGACCAGGCAGGTGGTGTTGAAAATGATCCTACAGTTAGCTACACACTGCTGCCCAAAGTGTAGTCCCTGGACTCACCTTGTTAGAGATGCAGACCCCCGGGCCCCGCCCCAGACCCGCTGAGCCAGAGCTGCATTTTAACGAGAAGTCCAGGTAATTCGGATGCACGCGGGCAATGCTCTGAGGAACGCTGCTCTACATGATCTGTCAGTCATGGGTGATACTTACTATTGATGACGGACAGACAGGAGGCCTGTGGTTGCCACAGGACCTTTGCAGGGTAAGGGGGTGTCGCCACTGCGGAAGGAGGAAAGCAGAGAGCAGGAGGGGTGGAGGTCCCAGGGGTGAGGGGTGAAGCTGGGAGCTCAGATTCCTGAATGTGGGAGACCTGGCGGAAGGTTCCAGAAAGGTGGTGTGCTAACCCGACAAGAGCCACAGGCCTGGAATCTGAAGACCGGAGCTTGCATCCCAGCTTTGCTGCTTGTGGGCTGGGTGATCTGGGGCAAGTCTTTCAATTTTCTGAGCCTCAGTTTCCCCACGTAATGGGACATGGCTGCCTTGCCCCCCCACCCCGACTTCCTGGGAGAAGGAAATGCCTTTCAGAATATCTGAAAGCGCTTGGAGAGCGCAAGTTCTCTTCTAGGGTGAGGCTTTGATAGTGTCGTTGATCCAGTCTTGAGCATCTTGCTTTTTCCACAGTGAAATAGCTGAACATTAAATGTTTCATCTAAGGAGACTTGAGCACACAGAGGTGCCTGGGTCTTGGTGCACAGGAAAACCCAGAGATGGTCACGAAGGCGCATCTTAGAGCCCACGTCTTCCTCAGAACCTGCTTTGCCTTCTCTGCGCCTCCGTATACCCAGACGCAGAGCAAATGGCCCCATCCCTACCCCATGGGGTCTGCTGGGCTGATGACTGCAGACGGCAGGTGGGTCCCGGGGGCCTCAAGCCCCTCCCCACCATGACACTGAACACCACGTGCAGAATCAAGGTCACAGATGCCACGCCTCCTGCCAGACCTTGATGTTCACGAAACGTTTCCATCCAGCAGCACTGAGCTCACCAGCCCACTGGCTCGGGTCTCCTTTCCCCTCTGTGTTCTGCCCCCAAACCCACAGAGGACAGCCTGGGGAACACCCTTCCCCACCCCTCCCTCCTGTCCCCGTCACAGCCCTCCCGTCCCGTTTCCGGGGCTGACCTCATGCCAGGTACAGCTGTGATGGGACAGTGCAACAACTCCTGCAAATCCAAATAAACAACAAGAGAAACACAGCAGGTGTTAAGGGTGGTGCACAACTAACTAGGAGTGGGTGAGACTGAGACCTAAGGTAAGGAGCTTGAGAAGGATGAGGGCGTGACCCGCTCCCCCCCCCCCCCCCCCCCCCCCCCGCACCATATGCTCTAGCTCACTGCAGGGTTTCCTGCCTCCTTGCCTTGGCCCGTGCTGCCTCCTCCGCCTTCTTTGCTTCCTTCATTTCCGAGGCTTTCGTGTTTAGATTACCTCAGT